AACTGCACACGGCACACGGCAGGGACCTCGTCCTCGAGCAGAGGCAGAGGCAGAGCAGGGCAATCCGGCCGGTGGCGGTCTGCCGCGGTGGCGCCTCCCCCGGGCGGGGCCTCTTGCGAGTTTCCAGACCGAATCGATTCGTTCACACGCATCGAAATATCGAATCGCGCGAGGTACTTGCCTGCGTTGCTTCGGGTCGCGGGAGCTGCGGGGTCGCTCTGCCAGCGACCGCGAGTGATCCCCCGCCCGGTGAAAGGGACAGGCGTGACGGCAGAGCAGCAGAGGGCGTAACCAAGGGAGGCCCCGAATAGCCGAGGAAAAAGGCCCAGCTCGATGCGACCGCTTGTGAAGCAAACGAAAACGACGACACGCGATCAGAAATCGTCGACTGGCTGGTGATCTCGTGGAAAAAGTGGAAGGCAGTGGCGCGACCTGGCACCTGCACTCACAGTGCAAAGGCAAAAGCACATAAAGCATCGATCTGCTCCAGGTTTTACCAAACCAGGGCACTCCCCGTTGTTCCCCGGATTTGGCCGTCGACGCGTTGCATGGTATGGTTCTTCGTAGAAACGTCAGCCTCAGTGGCTAGGCACGGCAGGTCTGCTTCTTCTTGCCTTTGTTATCGTGTACGAGTAGCACAGTACATGGGTACAAAGTTAGTGGCCACGCTGCCCACGCATAGAAGAAACGGCATACGGCATACCGAACCTGAGCGGAGGCAGACCGGGGGAGGTGAAATGCCTTCATTTGCTCGCTGTCGCTGTCCGCGTTGATCAGTTGCTCAACTCCGCCGGGACCGGGAATGGTTGTCTGGAGTCCATCAAATCCCGGCGATCGATGCCGCCTAATTGCCCAACACCGAGATACCAAAGCTTACCGGAAACCGATTTGTTCGGCTTGTTTTTTCAAATAAAACAGTATTTTTCTCTCACAACAATTCAGCCAGAACAATGTTTTTCAACTAGTTTCAGCTAAGTTTCAGCGAGCCTAACGGATCATAATGTGCTTCTTCTGTAGTTTACCATCACCTACAGCCTGAGTATCATCGAACGATACCCGATCACAGAAACGTGATAGCAAAGTGGTAGGAATAGGATCACGGAAGATCTGTAGCCTGTAGGTACTCCATGCCTGTCAACACTGGTCCGTGTTGGCTTCTAGTGCTGGGGAAAAAAGCAGAGTCAATAAAATCAATGTAATGTAATTTCTCTGCTGCACCAAACACGAAAGTTACATGACACAACTGTCTTTCGTCCGGTTCAGCTGGCTAGAAAAACGGCTGATATGGATGCTGATATTAATTTATTGTGAGAGAAAAAATACTGCTATTTCATTGAAACGGTACAGCGAAGAGGGCCTTAGTTGCTGTTGACAACTTCGTTTTCATCATTTTCCTCACTGTTTGGGCAGGAAAACAGAACAAAGGCGTTGCCCGGGGAAGGTCACCTGTTGGCTGTTGCTCATTTTCTCCGACAGGTCCTCAGTTTCACACGGCATCCTGCGCACTTCGCACGCACTGGTTCAGTCCACAGGCTCTGGACTCCGAAGCCGTCAGGGCAAGTATATTGCTACGTCTCTGCGATCTCATACTCTGTATCAAGCAGTGTCACATAGATTTTTCTTGCTTACGTAAAGAAACAAAGAGAAGAGTAAGAAAAATAAAGTTATTGTTTCATGAAACAATCGTCTCTTAAGTTAAAATATAGGACTATGAAACAAATATTGTACCATTCCATGAGTTTATGCAAGATACAATTCACAATTTTACCGGTGCCTATAGTGACTTCGTCAATCGGATTTCTTGATCCAGTCATCAAAGATGCTCATAGAGGTGGGTTTGTATACCGTAAATCCATAGAGGCGAGTGTGCAATATGATTGTCTACGTTGTACCGTGTAATCGTACAAAAAAAACTCACAATTTTACTTTTATTCTATATATATAAACGGTAATGCTTATCAGGACGTCTGTCCATTCAGACGGGACGGAACCACCTAGAGCCTCGTGCTCCTACGCCTCCCGCCTCGCGCCGTGCACCCTGCCTCTCGTGCCTCGTACTTTCCTAAAAAAAACCTCGCGCCTCATACGGTCGCACCAGACCTACCTCGCACCGTGTGCGCCCCGCGCCTCGTGCCACGCACCCCGCCCGTCCGCGGCTCGCGCCGCACGCCGCCCACGCCTCGCGTTGCCTCCCCCCTCCCCCCGCGCGTCGTGTCAACCATCCTCCATTGGGCGGCAGTGCGTACATGAGCAGATGTTGCAACCGTATGTTTCATCCGTTTTAGATGTATATTGCATATGTTTCATCTAGATGTTGTAAAGTAGATCTAGTGTTGCATATGTTACAATGACTATACACGTATGTTGCAAGTGTATATTTCAAATGTTTCAAACGTATGTTGCAAATGTTTTATCTGGATATTGCATATGTTGCAGTGGCTATACATGTATGTTGTACGTGTATGTTCCACTTGTTTTAGACCTATGTTGCAAATATTTCATCTGGATGTTTGCATATGTTTCGGACATATGTTGCAACCGTCTATTCAAAATGTTTCATATGTTTTCAGACGTATGTTGTAAATATGTTTTATCTAGATGCTGTAGTTGCTATACACATATGTTGCAAACGTATGCTTGTAAATGTTTCACCTGTTTCGGACATACGTTGCAGAAATGCTTTTATGTTGCAACATTAGCACGCTTAGGAAGTGGGCGCATGCAAATGCGGTCCCCGCAGGCATAGCAGTCCCACCTGCATGCGCATCAGCAGGCACGAGGCAGGCATCAGGAGGCACTAGGCGGGTATCGCAGGCACGAGGCACACAACTACATGCGTAGGTGCACTAGCACGCAGGGGCGGGTGGGCAGGCGCAGCAGTTGCACGGGGGTGTAGGCGCAGAGTTGCATGTGGAGCGGGCCTTTTTTTATATAAAAAGGCAGGACAGGCTTAGCATCATGTCTGGCAGGCAGGACGAGAGAAGCAGGCGAGACAAGCGCGATGTCCGGATGGGAGCTAGCATCAAGTGCTAGCCACGCCTATATATAAATTAAGAAATTACAAGGTATTATAATATAATTTAAAAAAGTAAGTATTATCTATTAAGTCGTTTTAAAATTAGGTGCACTACGTGAAGCCGTTTAGGAGAACGCCGATATAATTGCCCTGGCCACGGTCACAACTTCGAACCTGTCAGCAGCCAGTCTCTGTGCGCACATGATCGAGGCCGAGCTCTTATAGTCGGCCCAGCCCAAGATTCATCTCAATAGGTCCAGCCCAAGATTCATCTCAATAGGTCGCCCACTGATGAGACGTTACAAGGCCTCGTTGCTGCGTTCGGGCCAACAGAAGGTCTTATCATCACATGGTCATGGCCTGCCAAGCCGAGTTTCTCGCTTGGGCCACACCACTCGTAACAAGGGGCCTGTTAGGTTTCTCACCAAAAGAAGCCAATGGGCCACACCACTCGTGACAAGGGGCCTGTTACGAGCGCAGGTTTCTGACTACAATGGCTAAGCCTGCGCTGTGGGCCGTGGCGTTGTTGCCGGGCCGGGTTGGGCACAAATATATCTGAATTTTTCCCTACGAGCATTTTCACCCCTGAGACAATGCTCTGCAAATCGACGCGGATCATTGATTAGATAGTCTAGTTCTGCAAAGAAATGGGAGTACATGCGCGGGCAGTGGACACTGGACAGCTACTAACGGCTTCAGAAAATAATCGAACGCTCGCAGGGAAATTACGTAAACCCTAATCCTAAACTAGACGACAGCTCTCCCGTGCCCGGCGTCCCCCTCCATTGCTGGCCACCGCCCCGGCACCCACTGCCCACCGTGGTGGAGCGGTAGGGCCTCGCCGGAGCGCGGCCGCGGAGCTCTGGCGAGACTCTACACCATGTCCGCGGTGGCCTCTTTCTTCCCCTCCCCTTCCCCTAACCGCCGCCACCTTCTCAAACTCCAGCAAGCTTAGCCGTCGTCATTTTCTCCAACTCCGGCGAGACTCCCCCGCCGGACCTGGGCCGACCACCGCTACCACCGCCAGGGCCCCTAAACCGCCCGACCACCATCCCCACCGCCTGGCATGCCTACCTCCGTCCCCTGGCTGGCCCCTTCTACAGGCGCCGGAGTTGGAGAAGAAAGAGGGGGAGAGGCTCGCCGAAACTCTAGGCACTGCCGCCGCCATCTTCGTCTCTGAGGGCACAGATCCAGGAGGAGGAACAAGCCTACCTCGTCGGAGCCGCCGTCGTCGTCTTCGTCTCCGGTGGGGGTGCGGGCGCGCGGGGGCACTTGGGAGCGGGCACGGGTTGAGCTCGTGGAGGTGCGTCCGACTCAGCCGTCCGAAGCATTACCAAAACTAAATTCCACCTCAATACACATGGATTAAGACCTTGTTTGGATGCGTATGTATTCATCTCAATCCACGTGTGTTGAAGTGGATTAGAGTGGAATTGAACTAAATTCCATTCCATTTCATTCCACTCCAACACATGTGGATTGAGGTAGATACACGTGCATCCAAACAAGACCTAAGGTGGATACACGATCATCCAAAGCTAGATATAAACTGGTTCCTACGGATATCATCCAAGTAACTTATTAGTTATCATAGAAGTTCGGGCTGTGGGGGAGCTTGGATGAGTCCCAGCCAAGCCAATAATGGTAGCGTGACGTTGGAGCATTACTTGAGGTGCGTGGTTGGTTGAACATTTTGTCCACCCTTCGCAATCGACACCGTGTCTAGACGTGCAGCAGAGTAGAAAACTACAAGTGGCAAAAGTGGCTGGGGTAGGGGACAAAAAAAGATTGACTTGACCTGGAGGCTGGAGCCGGGATCACTGGCAGAGTGTACACTAGATATATGCGCCCTGAATCTTTTCTTCTCTTCCCTGTTCGCTCCCTGGAAACCAAACAGCGAGATCTAGCCCATCGATTGTGTCACCACCACTCAGCAGACTCCGCTAGCTTCAGCCACCGTCTCTCCGTCGATAGCCGTGTGCCCATGTACCCGCGCGTGAACCCAGACGCGCTGCCGGCCCCGGGCAGCCTTGAGATGGGCCACGCCACCCACGCTGTTGCGTACCCGCCGCTGCCGCCGACGGCGGAGGTCGTGCCCGTGCCCGTGATCCAGCAGCGGCACGGCGGGCGCGCCCCGGACAGGAGCAGCTGCGAGGACCGTGACCCCAGCACGCTGCTCGTGGGGGCCACGCTGATCACGATGCTCGCCTTCCTGCTCGGCTCTAGCGTCCCCGGCGGCTACTGGCCGCAGGACACGCCGTCGGGGGACGGCAGCGGCAGGCTGTACCGCGCCGGAGACCCCATCATGCGCGACCTGCACCGGCCACGGTACTGGGTGTTCAGAGTGGCGAGCTGGGCGGGGGTCGCGAGCTCCATGGTGCTGACGCTGAGCCTGCTGGTGAGGATGGCCGTGGCCTCGCGCCACGTGCGGTGGTCGTTCGCGGTGGCCTACGCCAGCCTGCTCCTCACCTTCGCGGCGTCGCAGACCAGGACGCACCTGTCGCTGGACATCCTCCTCTGCCTCGCCGTCCTCCTCGTCTCCTGGCTCATCACCAGCGTCCGCGAGGAGAACCGCGCGTGGGTCATGAAGGTGCTCTGCTGCAGCAGCAGCCGGGACAGCTGAACGGAACCTCTTTCGAGCAGCAGCACCGTTCAATCCTCTCTCTTCACTTTTGCTTGTTCGTTGGTGATGCGATGCTTGCTTAATTAACTGGCTTTCCTCTGAGCTCAGATATGTGATAGAAATTTTACGTGCAAGCGGTGTGATGTACTCTATCTATCCTTGCTGTGATATATCGAAACTGTATCCTTGCTTGAGCGTTGTACTGCTTCCATATACATAAATTGGCGTGGCTATGTAAATGTAACAAAAGAAGAGCTTGTAGTAATTATCTGAATTTACTATTCTTTGATCGAGCACCGTGTGTCTTAAGGTGCTTTTAATTTGCTGGAGGAGAATCAAAATTGACGCTTGATTGTACGGTACTCTCTCCGTTCTAAATTCTAAGACGTCTTTTTTAAATATATATTAATTTTACTAGGTATCATTAATTTTACTAGGTATTTGATACAGTGTACATCTAATTGCGTAATAGAAACTACATACCACATTAGGACAGATGTGTTGGGGTTTTTTTCTGGATGACTCCGCACCAGCAATTCAGCACCCGGCCAACAACTAGACGGAACACCGCGGCTGGCCTTGAGTGCCCTCTAGCTCTAGTGCTCTACTATGTTACAGTATTTGGGAATACAACGAACAATGGTTTCAATTATGCCAACATCTTTATGGTCCTAGGCAACATCGGAAAACCGTTATCCCTCGATGGATCGAAGTTGAACAAATGAAGAAGAGACCATAGCGTAAAGAAGAAACAACAATCAAGCATATCCATTGATCATTGGCAAATACCCTCATAACAAGTCATATGGTCAACGAGTCACCGGTTCATCTATTGGCTGCTTTTTGGCGCATTATCGCGCTGCACTTTGGTTGGGGCGAGTAACATAGTATATAGCAGCAGGATAATCTTATCAATAAGAGTACATATCAGTACAAAGATTTATGATTTTAAACAAATATATCATAAAATTATATTTCATGATTAATCCAACAATACATACAGTCGTATTTAGGGTCTTCTTGGTTTGCGACTGTATGTATTTGTGGCAAGCCACAAGACGGACAAAAAATTGTCATAGATTTGGCAAGCCAAATGTAAGAGTTTAGCAAGTTTTGATAGCAAACCAAATACTAGCTAAAATCATAGCTCGCCAAATCTTTGACTTGGTAAATTTTGGAAGTGAACCAAATCAGGCCCTTAATATGGCTTAACTTCGCATTGTGCTAAATCTGTATTCTTTCAAGCATGAAGGGAATACATGTTATTGGTTGGATCAAAACGTAAATTGTTGTTCTTAGGCTATGTTTGATTGTGCTGCCAAAAAGCAGAATGCTAACTAAGCGGCTGGAATCTAAATTTACTTTTTCAGAAGCCACGACTTTCGTGCAGTACAATTTTTGTGGCACTTTGAACCTTACTTTTGGCTTGCTTCTCCAAATAAGTGAAAATAGAGAGATGTTTTATAGTTGTTTCAAGGGAGATATATTGTCGTTGCAGAAAGTGACCAACACGTCAATATTTGTAGTTTTGCTATACGTTGTGATCGGAGGTGGCCTAGCACTCAATGACACAGGGTTTATACTGGTTCAGGCAACGTGTTCTACGTCCAATTTGAGTTGGTTGGTGACTTTATTCCTGAGCCCAGGTGCTAGAAGTTTGCTGTGGGGTTACAAACGGAAGGGAGAAAGATGGGGGTACAAGAGGTCTGGTCGGACTCTGGTCTGAAGGGCCGAGAGTGACGGGAGCTCCTCTATGTGCTAAGTGTTTTAGCGTGTGCTCGAGGTTTGAACCTAGTGGTTCTGCTGTTGTGTGTTAGTAAATTGATCGATCTCTCTGTTGGGAGAGAGCGCATCCCCTTTTATAGATGAAGGGGATGTCCTTACAAGTGAGAGAGAGAGTGTGTACGTATGCTAAGTCTTATTGCCCACGCCGTCGGGTACAAGATGATTGTAGACGCCCATAACACTGTTAATATCAGGTGCATGTGGGAGGTCGCGTCGTCTTCTTTTGGAATGGCTGATGTCGGTGCCTGTCATACTGTTGCCCAGAGGCATGTAGGGGGGTTTACCGTGTTTGACTGGTATGGTAAATGCCGGTGCCCACAACACTGTTGATGTCCGAGAGGCATGCGGGGGGGGAGCCTCACCGTGTTTGACTGGTATGAGAGTTGATGGCGTCCACAACGCTGTAGGGAAAATGTCGGTGCCCACAACACTGCTTGGGCTCTGACGTGCCAAGAAGGTTGCAGGGTACTGTCCTGCAGGTGTACAGGGTATGGTTCTCAGTATTGAAGTTGACTTGAGCGCCCTGCCTTACTTGCTCTGTCTGTTTCCTGGTCCTTACCGAGCGGGCGTCCCCGGTCAGTTGGTTCCAGTCTGCTCTGACTGCGCTAGTCGGAGAAGAGCTGTAAGTAGGGGTTCGGTGCATCCTAGGTCGGAGACGCGGGTTGGAGTCAAAAGTGGTATTTGGCCAGGCCTTCCGGTCGGAGAGGCCATCCCGAGGCGGGCCGGAGTCAGAAGCGAGGCCTTCCGGTCTGAGAGGCGGGCCGGAGTCAGAAGCGGGCGTCGTTCCTCCTCGGCCAGGCCTTTCGGTTGAAGACTGGATCGCCCTTCTGGCCTATTGTTTAGGTATTTGGGCCGGCCCATGAGTCACGCGTCGTTCGCAACGTTGTCTGCTGGGCCGAGCCTTTGTTTGGGGAGCCGGTCCATGAGGGACCCTAGGTTTATGAACCTGATAGGAGCCCCCGAGCCCCTGGGCGATTCGGGTAGAATCGTTTGGGGGATTTTTGTCTTGACAACGAGCGCACCCGCGGGTGTAGCCCTTGAGCCCCCGGGCGATTCGGGTAGAATCGTCTAGGGGGTTTTTTCGTGTTTGCCATCGGGGGAAGTTTCATTTCGTCAGCGGGTGCGCGCAAGCGCACCTATGGGTGTAGCCCTCGAGCCCTCGGGTGGTTTGGGCAGAATCGCCCGGGGGGTTTTGTCAGCGGGTGTGAGTGTGTGCATTTTGGTGGGTGTAGCCTCCCTTTTCAGTTTTTGGTCCATCGTTTCCAAGAGCGTGGTCCCAGGCGTTTGGTTGCGGTCGAGGGACGGGGCAAGGCGGAGTTTCGTCTGCCGGGGCATCGGGCGTGCCGAGGTTTCAGGCGAATTAGAATCACGGATCCGAGGATCAGGCGAGTCAGAGTCGCTAACCAAGATGTCGGGCGTGCCAAGGGATCGGATGAGACGGACTCGCGGATCCAGGCGTCGGGCGCATCGTGGGATCGGGCGAGTCGGAGTCGCGGATCCAGGCATCGGGCAAACTGAGGGATCGAGCGAGTCGGAGTCGTGGTCCCAGGCGCAGCTGAGGCATTTGGGTGTCTTGAGCCCCTGAGCCCCGTTGGGCTTGGTAGGGGTCAGTTTGAGATTTGTGCGTTACCCCGTCCGTGGTTTCTCGCAACCAGAGGGGCTGAGGTAACAGCTTGCCTCGATGGCTCGAGTGACGCGCTCGGTGAGCTCACTAACGGGCACGTTCGAGTGAAGTCCGGGTCCATTGTTCATGATGGGATCGGCATAGCCCTCATGTGGCACTCCACTGTTCCTTAACCTGCAACCCAGCATATGCCTGGGTCGTTCCAGAGACCGACCCAGGTTGCCCGCTGGCCTCTCCTCGATGGAGATTCTGTGGGTTTGGCGAGGTTAGGATCGAACGAGAAGGTTGAGATGACCCTGTCTGCTTCGGGGCAGACTAGGCGAGGGCCACTCGGGGTTCATCTGCGTTTTCTCCCCTAGCTTTGTTTGATGCGAGGCGGCCTCGAGCCCTTTGTGGGCTGGCCTTCGAACCCCGGTCGGTCGTTTGCTCATTTTGAATGAGGCAACTTCTGCTTCGTGACGCATCACGGAGCGTTGTGATGCATTTTACTGCATTTGCAATGTTTTGGATGTATGGAATGAATGAATGCGTGCATGGATGAATGAATGTTTATGTAAAGAAATAGTGGGGGTTGGTAATGTTACCTTTGATGACTCGAGTGACAGGGTTTGAGGAGCTCCTATCGGATATGTCTGACCAGGATCCACACTCGTCGTTCTTGACGGAGTCGACATGGCCCACATGGGGCGTCCCTCTGCTCCTTACCTATCTCTCGGTGTTCGCCTAAGCCATTCGATCGACTTAGAAAGCCCGTTGGTCTCTCCTGGCGGAGATCCCGTTGTTGGGCTTTTCCAAGTCCCGCCTAGGAAGGCGGAGGGCCGCCTGCATGCAGTGGCGCCTTGTTTCTTGCGCCCGGTGTGTGGTAGTGGTGGGCCATACCCAGGGCACGTCCCGTCTGACCAGGCGCCGTTCCATCGAGCAGGGCGCGTCCCATCGGTCAGGGCGCGTCCCATCGTATCCCATCCGCATTGAATGGGGGAAGGAAGAGGGTTTTTCGCCCCTGTTGTTTCACCTTTCCCCGATCGCTACGCCTTTCGCAACTGCTGTGCCTCTTTCTTTAAGTAGGAGAAGGGAGAGGGCTTTTGCCCCATTCCTTTGCCTATTCCTCATCTGCCGTCTCTTCTCTTTCTTCCTTCTCGCCAAGAGCGTCTGAGTGCCACGACGGTTCCTAGGAGAGAAAAGGGGAGAGCAAGGGAGAGGAGAAAAACTCACAGATCCATTCGTGAACCTAGAGCAAAATGTTTAGCTAGAGGTCATCCGTCGTGAGGGAGTCGGCGCTGGCTGCCTTTGCCGAGAAGGGGTTTCTGCCGCCGAAGGAGGTGGCTCCTGGGAGGGAGGATTTCCCATAACCTCGGGCTGGTGTGGTTGTTTCCTTCCTCGCCTTTCATGAGCGCGGGTTAGGATACCCCGCGCACTGGTTCCTGCGTGGGCTCCTCAATGAGTGGGGTTTGGAGCTGCAGCACCTCAATCCGACTGGGGTGCTGCATATCGTTGGCTTTGTCACCGTGTGCGAGGCCTTCCTTAGGATGGAGCCACACGCGGACTTCTTTCGGCAGTTGTTTTCTGGGCGAGCTTTGTCAAAGGGGAAGCC